TAGCTTTGTGTAAACAACCCCGCGTTAATGAAGAACCGAATCGGTTCGCTTTCATTAAAGCCGGATTCGAAGAAAAACCTCCGAACGAAATACTCTCTCTCTCTCTCTCTCTGAAACGAAAAACTGCTCGCAAATGCTAACAAAGTATAGTCTTTTTTTCTCTTTTTCCTTTGTTCAATACTATTTTACTTTTAGGATCTCAGATTGTTTTTTCGAGTGTATTTTTTTTTTAATTACTTTTTCTGCAAAGTGTGCATAATTTTCTAATATTACCGCATTGGTTGAATATTGGAATAGTTAATAATTAAATAATTAATATTCGTTGTGCTAAGTCCGAAAATGATGACAACAATGCAGTCATGTACTTATCTCACTTGGACACAAACAATATTTTTCCGTAAAAGAACTTTTAAAAGAGAGACTGATTTACGAGAAAAGCGAGCGTAAAGTTTTATGTCTCGTGGAAAAGCGAAATTTCCGTAAAAAAGTTCAATCGAGTGGAAAGGAAAGGAAAGGAAAGGTGAAATTTTTCTTGTCAATAGAGTTTCCAGCACCAGTTCTCTTTAACGTTCATACGTATACTGCGCACATAGAAAAGAAGCGAAATTGTATATACAATTTCAATAAAATTCAATTCATGCAACAATACTCGTTGCACTAACAGTAATGACCAGTGATGGTAACAATAATACTTCTTAAGAGTAGAAAAACCAAAATGGGGTCAAAATGTTAAAAACCTTGGTTATTTGGTGTGTTTCCAACTTGAATTCACAATTTATTCTTTTCCGAGTATTAAAATTTATTATTCTCGAAACTGGATAATCCATTTTCTTCTTAACAGAAGAATTAATGTTAACAGATAAGAATCCTCATTTCAAAAATTATTTGTAACTTATTACTATTACTATTACTATTACTACCACTATTACTATTACTATTACTATTCTTTTCGAAAATCATGATTTTAACATTTTTTTTACCAAAAAAAGGAATGAAGTACAAATTTTCCAACAGAAATCGGTAGATTTCTATCTACATAATATAAATCGATACGTTTACAGCAAAAAAAAAGAAATAAATAAATAAAAATGAAATTTCCATTCGAATTCCAAAGGGAAATTTCTACGTGATTCATGCAATTGACATTTTTATTGAATTTTTTTTTTTTATTACAGAATGTCACTTGAATTGTAATTTCGAGTTGTATGTATATTTTGATCGAAATAAAACTTTTTTGAGTTAACTTTAACTTTTAAAGAGAACTTTTTTTATGGGATAAAAATTTATGTTCATAAAGACAAGGATATTTTTGAGTTAAAGAAAAGTAATTTTTAGAAATTATTAAAGAAGGTTTTTAGACAACGTCGAATTAAATAAAGGACTTTATTTTCTATTTTTTCTTTTTTGTGCCTTAAAGTGATTCCTAGGGTTCTAAGGGGAGAATTGAAAGACGAAAACTTGAAGCTCTGTCTGGAGGAAGCATGAAACAGTTAAGTTTGCCTAGGTTGAATTCCCCGAAATGCATTCGGCAACATGGCAATATCTGGGAATGCAACCAAAAATATACATTTCTCTCTGTCACAATAGATAACCGAGCAAGCATCAGACCACTATTACCTGAAATACCGGAGGCATTCACAACAACAAACTACCAACGTACACTCTTCATAAATTACAAACCTCAAATAACTTCCGAAATACAATTCCGCCAACTTTTAATCATCACGAAAAGGAATGTAATAAAGCATCTCCAAACTCTGAGATTGGTGAATGTGTGTAAATGTTTGTGTGTTGGTACTCGATTCGTATTACAAAACAAGAGCTCTCCTCCGTTATTAGTTGCTAGACAAGATAGATGCCCCAGCAACGACCACCCTCTTGAGGACCAGAACTCTCTCTGTGGATATCGATAATGGCTTAATTAAGGCGCTTCGTACTCACATGAGCACACGAGTGTGTTGTGTCACGTGTCCCTCTATGCGCGAAAACACACACCCACACTTCATTTAGCAGAGTTTCTCTGACATTGAGTTTCAGTGCAATTACGAAATTGGAAAATGCAAAGGATTTGGGGAATTGTTTTCTACTTACATCCGCCTGCACGTGGAGCATTATCATTCGGGCTTTGCACTCGTCTACTAAAACCCTACACTTGCTTCGCACTCGCATCTATACTAAAACCTACTATTTACTACCTATTACTCTTTTTACGTTATGCTACTATTTGGGTACTTTTTTTAGACTTCAGCCACTAAAAGCTACTATTTCTATAGTTTTTTTCTTAGAATTTACTTTAAATTCGCTAATACTAGAAATCAAAAAACTTTTAAAAAATTATAGTCTCAAATTCTTTAAATTAAAACGATTCAATTATTATCGAAAAATATTCAATTATTTTCAATATCTACTATTTTCATAAAACTTCGCAAAAGAATTCAATTATTTAAAAAAAAAAATTAATAAAATTCGAATCTAAAATTATTTTCATAATTATAATAAAATTTCCACAGGAATTCAATTAATTTAGAATAGCATTATCAAAACAATTTCAAAAAAATCAATTATTTAAGAAAATTTCAATACAATTCTTCCCAATAATTCAATTCTTTAAAAAAAATAAAAAAATAAAAAAAAAAAAATTCATCGGAGGATTTCAATTACAGGAATTGCTCAAAAATTGAATTACATATTCTTAAAATTTGAATTTCAATTCCTCGAAAAAATCAATTATTAAAAAAACTTTTATACAATTCTTCACAATAATTCAAATACTTATTTCACTTATAATAACTTTTTTCATATTCAATTTTTAAAAAAAAAATTTTTTTTAATAAAATTCTAAACAAGAATTCAATTATTTTCATAAAATAATAAAAATCATCAAAGAATTTCAATTATTTTTAATAATATTTTAAATTAATTAATCGAAAAATTCAATTTTTTTTTACAAACACAATTTTTCACAAGAATTTAATTATTTACAATAAAATTTTCGAAAAAATTAGTTACTTAAAACAGTTAAAACAATGTTTATAAAATTCTTATGAAGAATTCAATTATTTTCAAACATAACAAAAATTATTCACATAAATTCAATTTTTGTTAAACATTTTAATAAAATTTTTCGCAATAATTCAATTCATAAATAAATAAATAAAATAAATAAATAATAAAATAATAGTCAGCAATTCAAAGATTTTTAATTATTTTAATAAAATTCGTAACAAGAACTCAATTATTTTTCTAAATAATAAAATGCTTTTTGAGATTTGAATTATTTTCAATACAATTTTACAGAAATTGCTCAAATTTAAAAAAATGATATTTTAATAAAAAATTGTTTTATTCTTAACAATTTAATTTCAATTCCTTGAAAAAATCAATTATTTACAAAAATATTAGAATTTTCCACAGGCATTCATTTATATTTTAAATTTTAATAAAATTCTTCGAAAGAAATAAATTATTTTAAATGCAATTTTAATTACCATTTTTAAAAAAAATTCCATTATTCTTTTAGATTTTAATAACATTCTTCGAAAGAATTCAATTATGACGATATGCCAAAAAAATTATTCTCGAAAATTCAATTATTTTCAGGCATTTTAATAAAATTCTTTGCAAAATTCAATTATTTTTATAAATAACAATATTCATCGCAAATATTCAATTATTTTTAAAAGTAATGGATTTCTTCTTTGAAATTAAATTATTTAAAAAAAATTCTAATAAGATCGTTCGCAAAAATTCAATTATTTTTACAAATTACTTTTTTCACATAAGAATTCAATTATTTAAAATAAAATTTCCATAATATTTATTATATTTCGAAAAAATGAATTATTTAAAACAATGTTTATAAAATTCTTACAAATAATATTCAATTATTTTCATAAATAATAAAATTCATCGCACGATTTCAATTATTTATTTATTTTCAATACAATTTTACAGGAATTGCTCAAAAAATGTAATTATTCTAAAAAATTTAATTTTAATTCTTCAAAAAAATCAATTATTTAAAAAAATGTTTTTTTTTAAAAATTCTTTGAATGAATTTAATTATTTACAAAAATATTTAGAATTTTTTCACAAGAATTCAATTATTCTCAAATATTTTAATAAAATTGATCAAAAGTAAACAATTATTTTAAATACAATTTTAATTCAATTTTTTTAGAAATAATTCAATTATTCTTTTAAATTTCAATAAAATTCTTCCTAAGAATTCAATTATTTATATAAATAATTCTTCGAAAAAATTCAATTATTAAAGATAATTAACAAAATTATTCCCGAAAATTCAATTATTTTGAGGCATTTTAATAAATTTTTTTGCAAAATTCAATTATTTTGATGAATAAAAATATTCATCACAAGAATTCAATTATTTTTAAAAATAATAACATTTTTACTTGAAAATTCAATTTTTTTCAAAAATTCTAATAAAACCGCTCGCAATAATTCAATGATTTTCATAAATAATAAAATGCTTTTTAGGAATTCAATTATTTTCATAAAATTTAACAAAATAGCACACAGACGTTCAATTATTGTCAAAAATTTTAATTGAATATTATTTTTAATATCTACTACGTTCATAAAATTTCCCAATAGAATTCAATTATTTAAATATTTTTTTTGTAAAAATTTTCGTAATATTTCAATTCTTTTTATGAATAATCAAATTTTTTTTAGGAATTCAATTATTTAAATGAGAATTTGCGAAAAATTTGTCTAAAGAAATCAATTTTATTCAAAATTTTTTTTTAAATTCTTCGTTAGAATTAAATTATTTTTATAAATATATTTAAATTCGTTCATGAATAATAAAATTCGCTGCAGGAATTCAATTTATTAGTAGGATAAGAAAAAAGTAAATATTTTTCATGAAAAGTAGGAAAATAAAAAGTCTGTAGGCAAATTTCCCAAAATTCCCTAAGCAAAAAAAAAAAAAAAAAAAAAAAAAAAAAAAAAAAAAAAAAAAAAAAAAAAATTGTTTGAATCAAATAAACCGTTTTTTTAGTAAACAAAAAAAGTGGAAAAGAATGGAAAATAGTAAAAATATTGTCCGATTTTTTTTTCTATCCCTAGAGATAACACAGCAACACGAAAATGCGCATCTTTATTATCAGTACAACGTCCCGGGTGCTGATCTTCCTTTTCTTTCTTCAACCCCTTTCGGGGTTGTGTGTGCGCGCCCAGTGCCGTAGTTTCTGGTGGTCACTCTCTCGACACTTCGCAAACCCCCGTTGAATAATGAAATACTTTTGAACCCCCTTTTTTTCTAATAATACGCAATATTTTTTTTTTTTTTATTCTCTAGAGCAACGACTTGATTTAGATTAGTTGCGAATGGGAAAGAAAGGGGTGGGGCAAAGAGTGAAGGGGGGTGATAACAGGGCTGTAAAAAGACGCGGGCTCCTGGGAGTTGATAACACGCGCGGTAGGCATTGGCCGCACGGGTTGGGTTGGATGCGCGAAAGCACGAGAGAAAGACGCGGTTGGTACCATATATACCAGACGACGGGTGCCGGTTGAGCCTCCGGGGGTGGGGGACTTCCGGGGGTGAAAGTCGCAAGGCAGTCGTGCCCTCGCCGCGCTACGGGGTGGCCAATGTATTGAGTTCGCTTTATAATCGCCCGGCGAGAATTTTTATTTTTAAATTCACGCCCGTTTTTCGAGAGCCGGTTAAAAGCTTTTAAAGTTCGCCCCCACCACGTCTTTGATATGTTTTTTTTGGTGAAAAATAAAAAAAAATCTTTGAGGTACTACTAATAATTTAGTAGGTACCCTACTGGGCATAGTTGACAATTCGAAACTGTTCTTCTTCTTTCTCTTCATTTTTGTTCATTAAACATCATTTCGCAAACAACCTTTTGTGTTCAATTAAAAAAAAAAAAAAAAAAAACATTCTAGTGTTTAACATTTAACGCTTTATTCTTTTTTGGAATTTCAATTGAGGCTTCTTCTTCTTCTTCTTCTTCTTCTTTCTCTTCATTTTTGTCCATTAAAGATAATTCGACAAACAACCTTTTGTGTTAAATTAAAAAAAAAAAAATCTAGCGTTTAACATTAAACGCTTTTTTCTTTTTGGGGATTTTAAATGAGGCTTTTTTTTCTTCTTTCTTTGTATTTTTGTCCATTAAAGATAATTTCGTAAACAGCCTTTTGTGTAAAATTAAAAAAAAAAAAAAAAAAAAAAAAAAAAATCTGGCATTCAAAAAATAACGTTTTTTTCCTTTTTGGGGGTTTTAATTGAGGCGTTAGAATAGTTTAATCCAAATTGTATTGTTTAACAAGTCTTTTTTTGTTAAAAAAAATGTTCTGGCACTTGAAAAATAACGCTTCTTCCTCTTTAGCGATTTTAATTACGGCATTAGAAAAGTTTTTTCTAAATTTTGTTGTTTTACAACCTTTTGTCTTAGGGAAAAAAATTCTTGTAGCCTTTTGTGTTATAATAAAAAAGGAAAAAAATAACACTTATTTCTTTTTGGGCATCGAGGCATTAGAAATTTTTTTTTTTTTTTTTGTAAAAATTAATTTGAGAGAAAAAACGAATCAAAACATTGCTTTCCAATGTTTCGCTTCCTTTTTTCCCTCCAATTAATATTCTTTCAAAAACTGTAGTTTATAGCATTTTGTATTAAATTAAAAAAAAAAAAAAAAAAAAAAAATTCTGGCGTTTAAAAATAACGTTGCTTTTCTGCTCGTCGGGGATTTTAATTGAGGCATTAGAAAAGTTTAATCTAAATTTTGTTGTTCTAAAAGAAGGAGTGATAAAAAAGAAGTGATAAAAAGTGAATTTACCCGAAAGTTTAGATATTTATCTCTCCGGAGAAGTTGCTGGGTGCGCTCTATGCCATAAAAACTCGAGTTCCTCTTCTCTTCTCTTTGCTGTTTTTCGATAAAAACCGTTCCTGACCTCCGACGATTAACCGCGTTTTCCACAGGTCATTGTCGTTTTGAAGTGACCGCGAAAAAATTGTTAGCTACATCTCAGGGGAAATAATGCCTCTGACAATGTGTCCTGGGAAATAAAGGGGAATAAAGGAAAATCATAGTTTTGAAAACATAAAGGGGGAATTTTTCAGGAAAATTGGAAACAAAAAGGGAAAAAGTGGGAGAAAAGTAGTAAAAAAAAAAATTGCACAAAGAATTCAAAAAGTAAAAAAAAAATTTTTGCTGTGATCAAGTGAGGGGAAACTAGTAGAAAACTAGGAAAAGTAATAAAAAAATACTAGGAAAAGTAGCAAAAAGTAAACTAAGAAAAAAATTAAAATTTAAACTAAGAAAAATAGTAAAAAAATGCAAGAAAAAGCAAGAAAAATAGTAAAAAAAACTTCAGGAAAAATAAAAAAAAAATAAAGAAGAAAATGTTGTCGCGATCAAGTGGAGGAAAAGAAGTAAAACATTAGGAAAAGTAGTAAAAAAAAACTAGAAAAAGTAGCAAAAAATAAACTGTAAAAAAAGCCAAATTAAAAAAAAAAAAAAAAAAAAAAAAAAAAATGTTACCGTGATCAAGTGGGGAAAAAGTAGTAGAAAACTAGGAAAAATAGTAAAGAAAAATACTAGGAAGAGTAGGAAAAAGTAAACTACAGGAAAAATAGCACAAAAAAAAAAAGTTGCAGCGAACAAAAATATTGCCTTATGAAAGTACGAATATAAGTATGTATTTAAGGAGAAAAGTTTTGTTACAGTTGCTTCAGTACAATGTAGAGAATAGTCTTATAATTTAATTTCCCCTTAACCTAAAAGCGTTAAAACTTTTACTCACTCTTTCAATCCTAAAATATTCAAATATTTATATTCTCGTTGCTTTTGTCTAAATTCAAATTTTCATAGCAACCTTTTTTTTCAAAGGAAAAGTTTCATTGAATTTTAAAGGACGCGTCTAGATATGGAAAGTTTTGTGACAAAAAAAAAGAAAATGTTTTTCCGATTAAACAATTCTATTTTGAATTCCATTTTTTAAAGTGAAAAAAAAAATCAATTTGTTTGTAAATCTAAAAGAAAAGTTTTTTTAATTACTGAAAGAATTTTCTTTTTCAAGTAGAGAAAATTTTTTTAATCCAAAAATAAGTGTCCAATCAAAAAAATATGTTTGATTTAAATTTGAATTTTTTTTAATTAGTCAATTTTGAGAAGATTTAAACTTAATTTTTTTTAAATTGAAATTCTGAGAAGTTTTGTTTAAAATTCTGGAAAAAATCGGGTATTTTTAACTATTCAATTCCATTGTTTTAAAATAATTAAATTATTGTTTATAGGTAATTAAAATTTTTTTTAAAGAATTGAATTCTTGTGAAGAATTTTATAAAAAATTTTTTGAAATAATTGAATTTCCGTGAAAAGATTTATTATTTGTAAAAATAATTGAATTCTTGCCAAGAATTTTACATAAATTATTATAAATAATTGATTTTTTTCGAAAAATTCTATGAAAATTGTATTTTAAATAATTGAATTCCAGTAAAAACTGTATTATTTATGATTAATTGAAGTTCTTTAAAACTAATTCAAATTTTTTTTAAATAATTCAAATTTTCTAAAATTCTTTCAAAATTAATGAGTTTGAAGAGTTTAATTAAAATTTTGGAGAATAATTTAAATTTTCCAAAATTCTATTTAAAATAATTGAATTCTTGCCAAGAATTTTCCAAAAATTATTTTAAATAATTGATTTTTTTCAAAAAATTCTACGAAAATTGTATTTTAAATAATTAAAATCCAAAGAAAACTTTATTATAAGATCATTGAGGTTCTTTAAAAGTAATTGCAATTTTTTTTTAATAATTCAAATTTTTAATTATGAAAATAATTAAAATTTTCGAAAATTCCATTAAAAATAATTGAATTTCTTTAAAAGTAATTGGAATTTTTGTTAAAATAATTCAATTTTCAAAAAATTCTATGAAAATTGTATATTAAATAATTAAATTCCAATGAAAATTTTATTATTTATGATAATTGAATTTCTTTAAAAGTAATTGCAATTTTTTTAAATAATTGAAAATTTTCTTAAAATAATTCAATTTTTCTAGAATTCTATTAAAAATAATTGAAAACCTTTAAAAAAAATTGAAATTTTTGTTAAAAAAAATTCAATTTTTTATAAAATTCTTTTAAAATTAACGAGTTTTAAGACATTTATTGAAATTGGAAATAATTGAAATTTTCTAAAAGTCTATTTAAAATAATTGAATTTTCATAAAGTATTTTAATGAAATTGTTGAAAATAATCGAGGAAACTTTGACATGTAAATTTTTTGAATCGTTTCATTTCTATTTTTTAATGGTAATTGAATTTTTTTTTTTGAATAAATAATTGAAATTTCTTGAAATAATTCAATTTTCAAAAAATTCCATTATGAAAATAACTGAAAATCTTTAGAAGTAATTTAATTTTGTCTTAAAATAATTTAATTTTTATAAAAATTCTTCTAAAATTAACGAGTTTTAAGAATTTAATTGAAATTTTAAAAAATAATTGAATTTTCATAATGAATTTTATTGAAATTCTTGAAAATAAATGAGGAAACTTTGACCTGTGAATTTTTTTAAATCGTTTCAATTCTATTTTTTAATGGTAATTGAATTGTTTTTAAATAAATAATTGAAATTTCTTGAAATAATTTAATTTTCCAAAAATTCTATTACGAAAATAATTGAAAATCTTTAAAAATAATTTAATTTTGTGTTAAAATAATTCAATTTTTATAAAAATTCTTTTAAAATTAACGAGTTTTAAGAATTTAATTGAAATTTTAAAAAATAATTGAATTTTTCTAAAATTCTATTAAAAATAATTGAATTTTCATAATGAATTTTATTGAAATTGTTGAAAATAATTGAGGAAAGTTTTACATTTAAATTTTTTGAATCGTTTTAATTCTATTTTTTTAAAGGTAATTGAATTTTTATGAATAAATAATTGAAATTTCTTGAAATAATTCAATTTTCCAAAAATTCTATTAAAAATACTTGAAAATCTTTAACAAGTTTTAAGACTTTTATTGAAATTGAAAATAATTGAAATTTCCAAAAAATTCTATTTAAAGTAATTGAATTTTCACGAAGAATTTTATCGAAGTTTTTGAAAATAGTTGAGGTAGGTTAGTGACAGTCATTTATTTTGTTGGGCTGATTTTAATTAAATATTTTTTTTTTTTGGTTCTAAATATTATAAATATTTTACTAATTGAACTTTCATTAAATATTTTTTTTTCTCATAGAGTTGAGGGAAAAAATCAAAATCAGGGAGAAATAGAAATTTTTTCTGGCAACACTAATATAGTTTTTTATGCAAAAAAAAAAATGATACTAATCATAAAATGCACAAAATGAAAAAATGAAAAAAATTTTCTTTAATGCTTGAACCGAAAATAATAAAGAAATTGTTTTAAAAATACTCTTTTTATGATTAGAATTTTAAATATAGTCAACTTTTATAGATTTCCAAGTATTTTCAAATATTAGAAATTTTTTTATTTATGGTAGGAAATTGAAAAATTTATGGATTCACAATTTTTCTTCGCTCGTTGAAAATATAATGTTGAACGTCATTGGAATTTTTATTTTTCGCTTTTTTTTTATTATGAAATTAATAAAATCGAAGTCTTTGAATCAGTAATGTCCGGGAAATTGACTTTGGCTAAAGTTACATTCTCTTTCTCTCTCATGTCGAAAATGCAAAATGTGTCCGCGTTTGCAAAGCAAATAAATGCTAATTTGTGTATGCAAGGAACGTGCGCACCCTTCATTTGTGTCAACGCGTTGCACTAAACTGGAGAATCAAAGTGACAGGATCGTGAAACCCTAGATTGAATAATTATCGCCGCAGCAAAAGAGAAAGGGCGTTTCGCGAATTCGATAGAGAGAAAAATGCCTAGAAAAGAATTGGAGAAAATTGCATTTCAACACTACTGACACAAAGGGGGAATAAAAAGTTCTATTTCGTGTGTGTCTTTCAAAAGCTCAAATCAATATATTATTATTTTTCTTTGAGAATTTTTTTTCGCTTTTGATTTTTGTGGAAAAAAATTATTTTTTTAAACTACCCAATGGGAAATGCCAGTGTAGTGCCGATGTTCACCACTGGCTTAGTACTCAGACGATTGTTCGGCGTAGTCTAGCCGAGCCTCGACAATTAGTGCTGGCGCAGTACAGAATTTTTGTTTCGCCAAAGCTTAGACAAGCCACGGCGGCAAGTGCTGGCTGAGTATAGAAAAATTGTTCACAACGCTCTTTGCCAACATTGCTTTTTTGACATAAACTTGAAAAAAATTATAAAAAAAGTTTATAAATGTTTATAAATATAAATTTATTGAAAAAAATTAATATTTTACTTTTAAGTTGTTCATTTTTTATTCTTATTAAATTTAATAATAACAATTTAACACAATTGTCTAACTTTGTAAATAATACATTATTTAAACAAATTAAAATTATAAACAAAATTTAAACTTTAATCTCAATAATAATTTGGTTCCTATTAAAATACTATTATACTTCTTACTATGAATAAAGTAATTTAATTTAATTATTAAAAATTTAGTTTAATTTATTATTTCTAACGTATCCCTATTTTTTTCTCATCTTTGACTCAATAATTGTATGTCTGAATGATACTGAGATATTACTACTTTTCTGTACACATGTGTCGTTAGCATAGTGGTTAGAGCGTTAGTCTGTTACTCCGTAGGTCGTAGGTTCGATTCCCCTCGTCAGCAATTTTGTTTATTTTCATAGGTTTGCGATATTTCTAGATTCCAATCGTTAGGTACTAAAATATGAAAATGTAATGCACACTTACTGTAATTGTTTATTATTTAATTTTTAAATGTTATAAACAATTTTTTTCTACTTCATTTACTATATCCATTGTTAGTCTCCATCTTTAATACAATTTCTTTAAGAAGAGAAATATTTTATGAATAATAACTATTTATTAATATTATTTGCCATTTTGTTGTTAAATTATTTATAATTATGAATTTACGACTAATTAATAACAATACGGCATTTATTGCGGCAATATTCTCAGCCAGCACTGGTCCAGTGCTGCGCCAGCGCTGTCTGGCAGCACTGACAGACAGTACTTCGGCAGCGCCAGACGGCGTTATCATCCCAGTGCCATGCCAGTGCTGGCTCTCAGCCTTGCCGCCAGTGCTGCCAGTGCTGGCGCAGTACTACGCCAGTTGTAAATTTCCCATTGGGTAGTTTGAAATTTTGTATTTTCTTTTTTGGTCTTTGTAAAAAGGAGAAGAGTTATTTTTTGAAACTTGTTTGAAATTTTGTTTTTCCTTTTTTGTTTTTGTAGAAAAGAATTATTTTTTGAAACTAGTTCGAAATTTTCTTTTTGGTTTTTCCAAAAAAAGAGTTTTTTTGAAACTTGTTTGAAATTTTCTTTTCCTTTTTGGTTTTTGTAAAAAAGAAAAGAGTTATTTTTTTAAACATGTTTGAAATTTTGTTTTTCCTTTTTGGTTTTTGTAAAAAGGAAAAGAGTTATTTTTTGAAACTTGTTTGAAATTTTATTTTTCCTTTTTGGTTTTTTGTAGAAAAGAATTATTTTTTTAAACTTGTTTTAAAATTTTGATTTTCCTTTTCGGTTTTTGTAAAAAATGAGCTATTTATTGAAACTTTTTGGAAATTTTTTAATTTTAAAAAGAATTTTTTTTTACACAGGAGTAGTAGTAATAAAAAATAATGGGTATGTTAATACTTATTCTATTGGATAACTATCGTACTGAGATAATTAGACATTATATTATTAATAACAAAAATGGATGTAAACAAAAAATAAAAATGTGAACGTCGCGGACTTGTGTGGCTATTTTTTTTTTGGTGACGAGTGTTTGTGCTCTTCAAGATTCCTGCAAATATTCGACAGTCATGTTTACGTGCCTCTGGAATTTTTTCGATTGGTAAGAAACTCGTGAAACTTTGCTAAATTATTTTTTATTTTTTTATTTCCATGATTAAATTATTATTTTTTTCACTTTTTTATTCTTTTATTAAATTATTATTTTTCTTCAAAGAATTTAATTTTTCTGCTATTGTTTTTTCACTAAAGTATTTTTTTTCTAAATTACAAAAAATTATCAAAATTTTTATTAAATAATTGCAGTGTTTAGAGAAAATTTACTAAAATAGTAGATATTGAAAATAATTCAGTTCCGAAAAATAGTTTAAATTAATTGAATCGTATAAAAGAATTAAAATGCTATTGTATATTAAGATAATTGAATTTTGGTTAATAAGTAATTGAAATTTTTTGAAATAATTGAATTCTTGTAAAGTATTTTATTAAAATTTTCTTAAATAATTGAATTCCCTTGAAAGTATGTATTATTTGTAAAAATAATTTAATTCTTGACAAGAATTTTGCATAAATTATTATAAATAATTGATTTTTTCGAAAAATTCTATGAAAATTGTATTTTAAATAATTGAATTCAGTTTGAAGAATTGAAATTTTTTAAAATAATTGAAATTTCCCCAAATTCTATTTAAAATAATTGAATTTTTATAAAAATGTCATTGAAATTGTTAAAAAAATCGAGGGAAGTTTATATGAATAAATAATTGAACTTTCCAGAAATAATTGAAATTTCCGAAAAATTCCATTGCAAATAATTGAAATCTTTAAAAGTATTTTATCGAAATTCTTGAAAATAATCGAAAAAACTTTGACATGTTAATTTTTGGAATAATTTCAGTTACATTTTTTAAGGTAAATGAATTTTTATGAATAAATAATTGAACTTTCTTGAAATAATTCAATTTTCTCTAAAATTTTTGATTAAAAAAAATTTGAAATTGTTAAAGTAATTGAAATTTTTTGAAATGATTCACTTTTTTTTTTATAAAATTCTACTAAAATTAATAAGTTTTTTTAAAAGAATTTTAATGGAATTTTTAAATTATGAAAGTAATTGAAATTTTCCAAAATTCTATTAAAAATAATTGAATTTTCAGGAAGAATTTTATCGAGATTTTTGAAAATGACCGATGGGAAGTTTGACATACAAATTTTTTGAATCGTTTCAATTCTATTTCTTTTTAAATAATTGAATTTTTATGAAAAAATAATTATACTTTGCTTGAAATAAATAAATTTTTCAAAAATTTTATTAAAAATACTTGAAAATCTTTCAAAGTAATTGAATTTTCTGTTAAAATAATTCAATTTTTATAAAATTCTTCTATAATTAACGAGTTTTAAATTTTTTTTGAAATTTTAAAAAATAATTGAATTTTTATGAATAAATAATTGAAATTTCTTAAAATAATTCAATTTTTCTAGAATTCTATTAAAAATAATTGAAAATCTCTAAAAGTAATTGAAATTTTTGTTAAAAAAATTCAATTTTTATAAAAATTCTTTTAAAATTAACGATTTATAGGAACTTTATTGACATTTTCTAAAATTCTATTCAAAATAATTGAATTTTAACAAAGAATTTTATTAAAATTGTTGAAAATAATTGTAAAAAGTTTGACATTTAAATTTTTTGAATCGTTTCAATTTTATTTTTTAAAGGTTATTAAATTTTTATTAATAAATAATTGAAATTTCTTGAAATATTTCAATTTTTCAAAAATTCTATTAAAAATAATTGAAAATCTTAAAAAGTAATTGGAATTTTTGTTAAAATAATCAAATTTTTATGAAAATTCTTGTAAAATTAACGAGTTATAAGAATTTTATTGAAATTGAAAATAATTGAAATTTTCTAAAATAATTGAGGAAAGTTTGACATTTAAATTTTTTGAATCGTTTCAATTCTATTTTTTTAAAGATAATTGAATTTTTATTAAAAAAAATAGTTGAACTTTCTTTAAATAATTCAATTTTCTAAAAATTCTATTAAAAATATTTGAAAATCTTAAAAAGTAATTGAAATTTTTGTTAAAATAATTCAATTTTTATAAAAATTCTCGTAAAATTAACGAGTTGTAAGAATTTTATAGAAATTGAAAATAATTGAGGAAAGTTTGACATTTAAATTTTTTGAATCGTTTCAATTCTATTTTTTTTTTGAAGATAATTAAATTTTTATTAAAAAAAAATAGTTGAACTTTCTTTAAATAATTCAATTTTCTAAAAATTCTATTAAAAATATTTGAAAATCTTAAAAAGTAATTGAAATTTTTGTTAAAATATTTCAATTTTTATAAAAATTCTTTTAAAATTATCAAGTTTTAAGAATTTTATTAAAATTACAAAAAAATTATCAAAATTTTAAGAATTTTATTAAAATAACAAAAAATTATCAAATTTTTTTTTTAAATAATGGAAAAGTCTTTAGAGAAATTTTACTAAAATAGTAGATATTGAAAATAATTGAATTTCGAAAAATGGTTTAAATTCATTGAATCGTATGAAAGAATTAAAATTTTCGAAAATAATTGAAATGCTTTGGAAATTTTATTATTTAAATTATTATTTAATTTAAATCAATAATAATTATAATATAATAAAATTAAAGTATTTAAAAAATAAAAAATAAAATAAAATTAGATGTTAAATAATAATTTAAACGTAAATTAAGGTTGGCTGTTGGTTTTGAACTTGAAATTATTTTTGTATTAAGAATAAGCTTTCTCGCAGTGTGCATAATAATGCAATGAACGTTGTGGAATTGACATCATCATTATCATAATAAATTTCAGCAGAAGTAGTGAGTAAATATTTTAAGCAAAAGAAGCACTTTGTTCTTGCAAAACTGCAGTTTTCCTTAAGCAGAGATTATTAAGAGGGAATACTTGTAGAGAGAGAGGAAAAGGCTGAGAAAAAAAAGCCCTCAAGGGCTCATGCGGTCAAGTGGAAAAATTAGTGCCCTGAATCTTAAGAGGTCATTTCCCTTTACCACAATTTCTTTCTCATTAAATAATAATGTTAATGCGTTTTTTTTATTCAGAAGCCAAGTCATTATTTTTTTTCTTCTCTTTAGGTTCAGTATTATTAATCATAGTTTGAAGCAAATGAGAACAATTAACAAGCTTTTCTCCAAGTGTTTATTGTACTGCTTCGACAAACTAAAAATAATTCTTACACTCATAAAAATCCCCAACTTTACCAGTCGGGGATATTTTTATTAAAAGTACTGGAAAGAAATTAAATTTTCAGAATAGGAAATATTGAAAACTATTTCTTTAAAATTCTTCTTCATTTTCCCTTTTCATTAATTTAAAATTCCAGATTCGCTTTTGTTGTCTTGACAAAAGTTTAATCTACATAAAATATTTGATATCCTCGCATTTGTATCTGATTCATCTCTCTCTCTCGCTCGCTCTCTCTCTCTTCATGATTGTAGCATAACTAAATTCCATTTGAAACGATTCCCAATGCGCGCCGCTTACTCGAGACGAAACATTCCTCGCAAACATTGATGTAGCGAGGACCATTACTCTCGACGGTAATTGAAATCGAAATATCGAGCGTACCATATGCAGAGGCATTTTTGTGCACAAATTTTGCCCGGAAGCCCGTGAGAAAGCATTCTGTTATCCGGCGTCTGTTACACCATCTGGAAAACTGGATTTTCTTTCGCACAAACACAATTCCACAATCAAAGGAATTTTGTATTTGGATGTATGAATCTACACTATTTTTTTTTTCTTTTTTTAATAAGCTGACAAATATTTCCGCATCAGTTTCTCTTTATTCAAATATTTCGCAAAACGATGAAGCGGGGATTTTAATAAACAAGAAAAACAATTGCGATTCGAATTTGATTTTAGAAACAAAGTTTCAGCTTTTTTTTATTTGCGAATATTATTAAAAATGCTCCGATAGAATTGAATTATTGTCAAAAAAATTTAATACTATTTAGCACAGAAATTCAATTATTTTAACCCTCTGCTGATGCTAACTTATCCCCACTCTATAGCCAAAGAACGTAACTCCCATAGTCCCCACCAGGCGTCCAGAATGACGATTTTTGACGATAACGGTCGTTAGCATCAGCAGAGAGTTAAAAAAGTTTTATTAAAATTCGTGGCTAGAATCCTAGAATTCAATTATTTTTAAAAATTGTATTAAAATTCGTCGATATAATTCAATTGTTTAATGAAATTTTGATAAAATTCTTTATTGAGTGAGACACATGGAAAGAAATTCGTAATATTTCGAAATTGAAAATCGAGTTGAAAAAGGAGAGAGAGAGAGAGAGAGAGAGTTGTTTGGATGTATTTTCTATATATTGTGTGATAGTTAGTGATATTTATTATTATGATGTTGGTGGAGTATAATCGCGTGAATGGAAAACATTTGTTTGAAGAAGGGCAATGTTGCGCGATAAATTTCAATTGTACGGGAGCCTTGCCCGGGCGCTCCGTGACAGTGGAGAGAAAAGCCTTCTCTTGTATATTCCGTGGCCCTTGGGGGCAGGAGTGAAATTTCATAACAGAGCTTTACCATAGCAAAAACAAAAGACTTCCAACTGCTTCTGCCTCATTCTCAGTCCCACTCTCGCGAAAACCGTCATCAACTTTTGGGATCTCTCTCCTCTCTCTCTACTCTCTCCCTGGGGCACATGCCACTTTCAGTACCGTCCCTATATTTCTCTTAGCATTATTAATTTCTTTAGCCGACACCCTCAGAGCTCTTCTCGAATCTACTCCATTTCCTATTTTCATTTCCTCTCTTTCTCTCTCTCTCTCTCTCTTTCTCTTTTTCTCTCTTTTCTCTTTCCAAAGTATAAAATTGTAACAAAGTCTTGATAGAAAAAAAATCTTTAATTTCCGCACATTTTTGCCATTCTTAATTCTCAGGGCTCGAAGCAGTGAAAGTATTTAAAAATACGGACTTAAAGGACCAAAAATTAAAAATTATGGATCAACTGACAAAAATAGAATCAGTCCGAATCAAATAAGAGAAAATTTTATACTTAAAACTAGAAATTCAATTTTCCATAGT